GTAACCATCTAGCTTTGGAATGTATGTGGCCGAACCCGAACCCTCGTAACCACTTGCTTGATATTTGTGGCTGCACCTTGTTCCAGTGTCTCTTCGAAACCACAAATCGCCATTGGATCTTTTGAGATATCTTCTTGTAAGACATGTTCTTCATCTCCTCCCTCAGATTCTGTTCACTTGCATTGTTTCAAATTCACATTTTATTTTGCATGACACAGTGTCCTTGGATCTTTTTGGTGAGCAAGAAGAGGAAAGCGAATGCACTTGTAAAGAGAATCAATCTCACCGATAAAAATTGTGCATGCGGAGCACATCTCTTAACCAGATCAAGCATGATTCTGACCATGCACTGATCACTCTCCTCCACGCCATTTTGAGACTAATTAAAGTAGCATAAGAGACATCAAAAAAAAAAAAAAGTAGTACCACGCACCGTTTTGGGCAAACATTAAAACTCCTTTCCATGGTCTTTGAATACTACCCTAAAGCCAGAAAGAAACATGAACCGAAACTGATATTTTCATTTTGCGATTTTGTTGTTTGGTTAATATATAGGTCGTGTTTAATTCGAAGGCCTTGAAAACCCAACCAAAAATATGGCAGCATAAGATACAAAGTTAAAGTACATCAAAGTATTCGCCTAGTTGGAGTTTCTTTGAAACACCATAAATACACACATTTAGCTGCACATCAGAATGATATATCTCTCCCTTATATATTGAGCAATACATAGATCAACGTGGTTAAAACCATAAGCTCGTTTATAATTAGAAAAAAAAAAAAAAAAGCAGGATTACGTACATATCTAGTTAAAGAAGACAAACAAAACAGACCGAGCTTCTCAAGGCTATTATGATAATAGTCTCCAAAGTTGTTGAAACACATTGCAAAACCAGAGCATGAATTTTCAAATTCAAGGGTTGAAGAAATTAGAGAATGCTCACTACTTGGTTAATGGTTGGTTCGTTGGGCCTATGTGTGGGCTTGATTTACAAATGAACCAACAAAAGTCAGTGGTAAATAAAATTTCTTTTTATTTTCTTTGAATTTTCAAATCAAAGCTTGATTTAAATATCTTCCTAACCTCTGACGTCCACCATAAATAAAAAAAGGGACCATCTATCTAAATAAATAACATAAACAAAAATATTCAGTTTTATATATCTTTGTTTTTCATATAATTTTTTTTCAAAAAAATATAAGTTTGATTACTATTGTATACACGTGACAAGTGTAGATTTTAAAAGTTAGTATAAAATTGGACCACCAAACATATCATTATGTAAAATGCATTTGAGTCTATAAGAACAACAAAAAGAAATGCACATCTTGGTTGACATAAAAACAAAAAAAATATATGCACATAAAGTGGTAACTGCGATAGGGGAGTGGAGGGAAAGTTGGGGTTCAAAAAAATTGAAATTGGACCACACATACAGTAAATTTTGTATGATTTATATAAAAAATGAAATCTTATATCTTTCTTTTACTTTTTGTTGTGAGTGTGGTTGTGTTTTTGAGTCTTATAGAACTAACTTTTTGGTTTGTGGATAAACATTATTATTAGGAGTCATGACTTCTTGTTACGTCCATCTCTCACGAGGATTTTTATAGCGCAACAATTATTAATCTTTAGAGTAATAAGTCAAATAAAATAATAAGACTTTTGATCTACAACCAAACAAGTTTTGAATTCAAAACTCGTAAGGCTCTCTGATTATCTAATCACATGTTGTAACTACTTTCAAAATTGATTATCATTGACTCATCATACTACAAAAAAAGGATCGAAAAAATATCTTTGACTCATCATACACTTACAATATTGTTTGTGCAATACTTTTTAGACTATGAAGGGAGATACTGTTGTGCGGGGCGGAGCGGTTCAAATAGTA